AATTTCCACATCATTTTGACGTTGAAGGCCATGCTGATGTAAAACAGCCGTCCTCGCAGCCGTCGCTGAGGAGGCACACATGCAGCATGTCGACGTTTTGAATCGGTGATGTCCTGATCAGGACATGCAACTCATTATGCAACTCATGAGTTGCAGTTTAGTTCAGTGTAGTCTCACAGCTGCATCCATATTCTGCTGGTCAGATGCCTAGATTAAATGGCCGCTGATGATTTTCAATGTTCCTTTTCTGTTGATGGCCTGATCCTCAGCGTTGCACCCCCGTCTGCCGTAGCCTCTCTTGGCCCCGTCATTCCGCATGGCAAGCTGTACGGAGTTATGACCGTTGCTCCAATATCCCAATAACCTATTTAGCACGTCATTCTGGACTCTCGGGATGCGTACCTGAACCTTTGCGTTGCTTTGCTACCCCGATGCTCAAACCAGCAGTTCAGCACATCACCTTGAAAGACGATGCATGTTGGCAGCGTTTACCCATTCTAGCATTGGCATGTTGCAAGTCACGAAGATGCACTGGGCAGGCGCACAATTGCGTTGACGTTTTTGTTGATTGGGTGCACTGATGTAGTGTCCTTCTTCTTGTATCATTTTCGTTACCATGTTGGCCATCATTCTGAGCCTTTGATGATGTTATTATTGTGTTATGATTACGACCATCGCAAGGCCTGTTCGCTGAATTCGGCGCTGAGAGCAAATCGCAGTAAAGAAAAAGTACACTGTTGGAGCAACCTGTGTGGCACCTTAGTGTACAAGACAGAAACAAAACAAAAGCTGTCTAGGCAACCGTTGTAGACAAGTAAGATAGCAACTACACAAGTTAAGACCGATAGAGGCTAATTCAGGGTGCGCAGGTTTGATTGACATCCCGTGTGAGGTTTGCAAATTGTACCCTTCCGTTATAACCGATTCGGTTATAACGGTAATAACCGAATTGCCAGCTTTCGGGAAGCTGGCGTGAGGATCTGGTACTGGGCTGAGCGGACAAAAGCAAGTGCACATGTTGTAAATTCGCTCTAATTCCTGACACAGCAAGACAAAATCGAACAGACATCGCTCTGGCGGCGCATGTGTGCGGCTGCAAGGCACCGAATGCTGGAGGGGGTAGCCATATGGGCTGAATTTACCTCATAGAATGGGAACATGGCGAGTGTAGCCAGATTTAAAAACAAAATACTAACAGTGATTCAAGCTACAACGATGCTTAACAATATCACAGAGCCGTCTCTCAATAAAAACAAATGATTCATATTTAATCCCAACAATGGCAACAGCACTGAAAAAGCATGAAATAAACAAAGTTGAACCAAGAATACTCTGAGCATGATGAATTTCCGGAAAGCCGAGTAAACTGACTCATCATATCCAAAAATACTTAACCTTTCTCATTGCTTGGTCATCAGTTGGTCCACTTTGTCATCGCTGATCAAGGAGCCATTTCCAGCAAAATGTGGCAGCTTACAATAACAACTGAAAATGATGCATTTCTTAAAAGCGCTGCTCATCGGTGCGGCACCCAGTCACTCAGCGTGAGGTGCTCAAGCAGCAGCAACAGATTTCTTGTTGACAGGCTCGGCCTTTATATTTACAACAGTGTTTTCCGTTTACACCTTTACGTGCAAAAGCTTACAAATAGAGAAACGGCCATTTCTATGGCCATATTTACGCATATTTATGGGTCGTTGGTACTCCCAGATTACAAGATGATGTCCCAGTCAACGATTAGTCCTCCACCCCTTTCAGCACTGCAACACAGCGCCCACCTTGCCCTTGGCAAGGGCAACAATGTCATTGGGAAAAATATTTTCTGCACATTTCAGAGCGTCCATCTGTGGCTCTCCGGACTCCTGAGTCGTTACGGACTGTCTCTAAGTACAAAGCACTCACTCTTATGCACTTTTTGGCTATTTTCATGCGTAGAACGTAAAACCGTTTTATGCGTAAATAGCTATAAATAGAAGAGTGTTGAAGCGCAAAGACCAAGGATGGTTGTTGCTGTCTAGGGAAGACACTATGTCGATTTTGTTATGCTTAACGTCAATTTGACGCTTTGAACGTGACGCTAAGAGATTATGTGATTGCAAAAAAAATCGGCATAAGGTGGAAAGATAATTCAAAATGCTGCTGATCAGCAACAAAACACTCGCGACTTGTTCCTAAACTTCCCTGAAATGTTCAGTCATCAAGAAAGTCCATAGAATGTGACAACTATTAGCCATTGAGGCTGCCCGCCTTGCCTATAATGGAACTTGCAATCCCATTTTTCAGTCCAACGAAATTTGCATTACTTTGAGCGTTTCTTCTTCTCAGCAACAACCAGGAATTTTGTTCCATCGATAGGTTATGTTGGTAAGTCATTTTGGCTTCGACATAAGGATTTACGTCAAGGGGAGGGGTTGGGTGGATGGGATGGGGTAAGATTTGTTACACAGAGAGAGAGAAACAAATGGCATACAAAAGGCACCCCCTCAAATGCAAGTGTATGTGAGGCTCTTTTCCATGCTGTCAAAAGATGGTGTTGCGGGGCTCTTTTAATGGCCTCCGCTGGTCCCTTTTCTCCGGCGCGCGTCCCACTTCATCCGCCTGCACCCGGTCGGGCCGATGGCCCCTCCGCCGAACCCAGCGGGCGTAATCGGGGTGCTCGCTCGTTCGTTGCGCGGTGGGCCCTCTTGCGCTCTGGGATCGGGCGGTCCTGCCGTTCGAAGACGGCGGGTAGCAAAGCAGCTTGCTCCCCGGGCCGCGAGGCCCGTGCGGAGCGCGGCAGTGAGCCAAAACGGGTAACAGAGCGGGGAGCAACGCACCCCCGCGTACGTACTGGTGGTCGGCCACATTCCGGCCTGACCACCCATCACACAGACACCACACAATGTACATCAGCGCGTCACGACTGTATCGCCCGGCATACCCACGTATCGGACCCACTATCGATACACCGTAGCCCAATCTACCCCCACGGCCTGTCCCTTATAGAGGTGGCCATTCAAGGGTGCCATCCGGTCCGTTAAATCCGGTTCGTTAATTTTTATCAGCTGTCCGTTAAATTTCGTTAAAGAAAAAGGGAGAAAAATTCAGAAAAAACAAAAAAATTCCAAAAAATCGAAAAAAAAACCCAAAAAATCACAACAACTGCGGCTAGTTGAAAATCTAGTATGCATAGGTTTAAATAAAATACAAACATACTCTCTAATACCGAATTCCATAAACTATAAGTATGACTAAAACCCAAAAATCCCCAAAAAATCCAAAAATCCGCTAATTTTTGGTTAATTTTTGTCTTTTTTCGTTATTTTCCGTTAATTAACGGAAAATTAACGGAAATTAACCTCTGTCCGCTATTAACGGATCCGGGTGGCCACCTCTAGTCCCTTAAGTACAGGGACTTTCCTAGGCCACAAACTACTCCATACCTGGGGGATAATGACAAAGAAAGAGTCTACGAGTATTTAGAGATCACAAAGAATCTAGATAATGGGTCGAATCCCACAGATGACTAACCAACCAAGACTAATGGTCATAATTCTCTCGACCCCAATGTGTTTCCACAACAGATGGTATAAAGCTTCCGAAGCAAAGGTGAGAGCACAACACAAGCAAGTCAGTGGCAATAAAGGGGGGCAGGGGGGAAGGTGGGGAGTGGGTGGGGGGACCTTAACGTCAAATTGACGTTAAGCATAACAAAATCGACATAGGGTTTTGCCTTAATTTCTAGAACTTGGGCATTATTTTGATGCCGCTATACTGCATAGCATTGATGTACGGCACCAACAATGCATAGCAGCCAAAGCCTACTATAACCGGATATGGCCAGCCTTTGAGCATGGTAGACAAACTCACAAACTTTGGTGTTATTTATTCGTATTGGATGTTGTGGTATGCTGCCAATGGACAAATAGCAAGTTGATTATTTAGATGTGGACTCTAAAACATGTGCAGGCAGTGGCGATCATGAGTGGCTATTGGAGAACACGAATCATGCATTTTTGAAACTATGCGATTTACATTGTGGTCACCGGTTAAGCGTGACAGTGGATTCCATTTTATGCAAAACCTTTAGGTCATTTAACACACCCAAAAGAAGCAATCCGATGTGATTTAAAGGAAAGATAATGGGCTCACGATACAAATGCAGGCTTCCAGACACATGCATTCACTTGCGATCGGGATTGACGACTAGTTACAATCGCGACATGCAGTTATTGTTTTACATATTAATGTATTAGATTCTAGGGAAATCTCTGGAACTACTTTATGAAATTTAAATTTCTACAATACAAAATGTGTTGAATGAGCCTTTGACCTGTTCGATGTGTTTAGAATTGAGCCAAAAGTTGCATTTGAAAGTTTAGTGCCCTTTGATTCACCATACCCAAGCGGACCGCCTTGTATTAATCCTACTCAAGTGAAGGTTCAGAAGCCAGTGTTGAGGATTTCGATGCCCTTGAGTCGGGAGTGGGTGGGGACTGCCATTTATTCGAAATGTGCCATGTGTTGAGGTCGACATTTTGCGGTGCCACGGGTGTTGTCAATGCTAACATGGAGTGTTTGATATTGTGATGCCAGTAGCTTTCATCTGGTCACAACATTGGTTGATCAATGCATCCTCAGTTAACCCATTTTTGCCGTTTCCTGGCCTTGGATCAAGGGAGCCAACCAGGTTCGCATCCACGGCCCCCCTCGCTTCGCTTCCAACCGTCCGCAAGCCCAGTTGACCGCTGCCATCACCAGGAAAGTACGTACTTGCGCATACGGTCCTCCGACAACACCAAAGCACAACAACTGTGTGCAGGAGCCCATCAGCTTCGCGGCCCCACTTCCCTGCCCGCGGAAAACTCCCGAACTGCGCGGCTCCCGCCCCCGGACGCACGACGGCCGGGGGCCAAACCAGCCTCCCGCTGGAGAGCAGAGCCCTCTGAGGCGAGCCGCGCTCGCGCCTGGGCCCCCCGCGGCCTTTCGCGGCATCCCCGCCGCAGCAAGGCCCGGCGACGATGTGGCGATCCCCTGGCCACCAGCCGATCGAGCTGGAGGATGGGTGGAAGTTGATGCAGGTGCGGTGCGGGCGCCATCGCGCTGAATGTCAGAGTTTGGGTCGGTGGCCCCCCGCCCCAACCCCGAGAATGGCGCCCGCCTCTCTGCAAGGGGAATTATAGACGCGGCAGCGTGGCGCGCACGGCTGTGCGCCGTATGCTGAGTTGACGAGTCTAGATCTGTTGCGTTATCGGATTGTTGCCTGCGGGGGGCCGATTGTAACAAGGAGGTGGCGGCGGTTGGAGTTCTGAACCCGCTTCTCGTCAAGTATGCCCTGCAGAGGGCTGGGGTCTTGCAGGGCGATTTGCGATTGGGAGCCCTGGGCGCCCCCGCTGGCTCAGATGCGGTTCGCATCGCGTCCCTTGAGGATTTTTTGTGCCCTGGATGCTCGGAGGGGTACTGTGTGATCTCGGGCGGGTGTGCTCTCGCGGCTTGCAGGATGGGATTCATAAGCTGGTGGGAATCCTGGAGCGCGAGAGGACCGACCAGTTCAACGCGGAGGAGTACATGAACCTGTACACGTGCGTGGTTCCCTTCTCAATTGATCTTCGTGTGCATTGCTAATTTTACTGCAATCCCATTTGGAGGGCAAAGACGAGGCCCTTGCACCTCACTGGCGATGTTGGAAGCCAAGGCTGTGGCACGCACCAACACCATGTGAAAAGAGACTGAGACCAAAGGCTATCGATCATCGCGTAGCCAAGGCCCTGTACTGAAGTCAGGCAGGGGGACTTACACCAGTTTTTGTGTGCATGCACAGAGTCATTTACAACATGTGCACCCAGAAGCCACCCTATGACTATTCAGAGGAACTATACAAGCGGTATCGTGAGTCTTTCGTTCACTACATAAGGGATCGGGTATGAACCTTGGCTGTGAGGCACCGCTTTGAGGCACCACTGTGTGCTATGCGCCTTTTGGATGACTGGCCTTGCAGCTGCCTTTGTGCTTTTTTGATGGCATGATTACTGCGTGCTCCGCTGCTGTGCTGAGGCATCCTGGGCCGCCTGAAACCAAAGAATCTGTCCTGTACCGATTCATACAACTTGCCATTGTCTTGCATGCTGATTGTGCTTGGTGATGCATAGTCGTGTTTTAGTCTGGGGAAATAAAATGCAAAATACCTCACGTAAGGGCACCCTTTGTATGATGCAGTTTCATTTGGGCAAATTATTTGCAAAGCTGATTTCCACCTACTGCTGTTGCTGTGCTGCACGTCCTGCAGGTAATTGATATGTTTGAGGATCGGCATGACGAGTTTTTGCTGAAGGAGCTGTACCAGAGATGGGACAACCACAAGGTGATGGTCCGGTGGTTGTCACGCTTCTTTAACTACTTGGACAGGCAAGTTGATCGTCTCGGATGCATGGCACGGACATGCACAAAGTTATTTACAAGCCCCGTACAGGGCTCATAAACATAAGTGCCTCCCTCTTGACTTTGCCTCGTTTATCTCCAGTGTTTTGTGCGGCATCCTGCTTATGGAGTCCACTGAGTTGCACACACCAAACGGGCAACAGATGTTGAAAATCGCTGTGGTAACTGGCCAATAATCAATTGCTGGATATTTTGGTCGTATAACATGGTGTATTTAAATGGAAAGGAGAACAACATCACCTATGGCGCATTGCTGGCTTGCTTGCATTTTGTGTCCGAGTATTCTGCTCCGTTCGAAATCGTAGCCTTGGCATCCGGAGCCAAAAGATCGAATGCTGCACACTAGAGGCTGACTTGTGTTTTGTGTTGTGTAGGTACTACGTCGGCCGACACTCTGTGGACAACCTGAAGACAGTGGGGGACTTGACATTCAAGGGTACGGCCTTGCACCTGCCTTCGAGAATGCGTGGCCTTTGACGTTCTGTTTCTAGTTTCTAAAAGGTACCAGAGCCATGGCAGTCAGTTGTGCCTTCATCGCCTACATGGTGTTAGTCTGTGGGACTGCAGATTGTCAACAGCATGTGAAATATCCAGGGCAATCTGCCTTGCAGACGATGATGCACTTGGCGGTGTCCAACAAGGTTTCAGTCATTGCCCAGGTACCCCACTTCCACACACGTTTGGAAACATCTGTGGAAAATCCTAAGTAATGGCCAAAAGGCAAGTCACCTGAAGGGTGAAATGCGGGTTCGATTCCTGGCAAGAGAGCAATGAAAGGAAAGAGAAGGCCTTGCCAGTACAGCCACTCCATACGTGGCTGTGAAGACCAAAGTGAACTGCAAGGTCCGCTGGCTTGGCCAGGAAATACTAAGAAAAGACAAATGATGAGCCCACCAAATGGGAAAACCAGCACCTGTGGTCCCACAGTTCCACACCTCACTCCCACTCGCATATGCCCACCCCAAAAAGAACTGTGTATCCCACTCTGGAACATGTAAAAGAAGCCATGCTTGGTTTCCAAGGTTCAAGGTGACCAACACCGGACTCAGCCACTGCACCACAACCGCCGAATAGTGAGTCATCAGGTGCAAGCGCCGGCTGCAAGGGGGCAAGGGCAATGCACTGTCACTGACTGGCAAGTGTTGTACAAGGAATTTGTTGATGGTGCAATCTCCCAGAGCCAGATGCAAGCTGGTAATCAGTTGGCGTGGGTGACAAGAGCTGTGCTTGGCCCTATATCTGCAATGTGGTCAATGAGTGTTCACCCTAGAAATGAGGCAGGTACTTGGAGCTGCAACAGTGTATCACAGGCAAAATTGCTGAGGCAAAGCTTTGAGCTATGTGCGTAACAGGATTCGTGCCCTGCATCATGGCTTTCAGGTCAAAGGATCACTAAACGCACTGCACTGCTGCAGATCTTGTCTACACTGTGCTCAAAGGCAGGGCTCGGCAGGCAGTACTGGACCTTATCCACCGGGAGCGTGAGGGAGAGTCGATCGACAGGACGCTGATAAAGAACATCCTGGACATCTACATCACCATGGGCATGAACTCGATGGAATGCTATGAGGGTGACTTTGAAGTCCAGCTGTTGAACACGACAGCTGAGTACTACAGGTGGGGCAACGTACAGACCATAATGGTTGTGGAATTCAGAGCGGTTTTTGCAAGAAATACTGAAATCTGGGATAGAGTATGGACACGGATTTACTGCACAAGCCACTGAAGACAGGATGCTGCAATAGTGTCCGCTGCCAGTCAAGTTAACTTTGTGGTTCTCAAATAGAGGATAAGTGTGGCCAATTTTACATTTACATACTTAGGTACGCCAGTGGGGGGATGACCCAGAGATAAGGGACAGCATGCAGTCTGGATCTTATGCTGAGGCACTTGTACTCAGCATGGACAACGATTGTTCTGGAGCAAACAGGGCGCATGGAATTATATCCAACATCACTCAGTAGGTGCAAGGGCAAATGTTGTTGTTGTTGTCAACTGTGATTTATGGATTTCATGGCATTGTGGTGTCCATGTGCCTCCCTCTCTTCCTGCATGTCTGTTGATCAGTGGGGATGTGAACACATAGGGTGCAGCCACTTGTGGCAGCATTCTGTGCCCTGCTTTGCCCAATTGTCCAAAGTGCATTGAATGTTCACATGTTCTGAGTTGTAGTCACTGAAGCTTTGTGCCGTTTCCTCTCAGTGGCAAGGCAGTGAAGTGGATACAGGAAGATTCGTGCCCCGAATACATGATAAAGGCGGAAGAGTGCCTCAGGCAGGAGGAGGAGCGGGTGAACAACTACCTGCATCAGACCAGCAAGTCCAAACTGCTGAAGCAAGTGGAGACAGAGCTGTTGGCAGAGCACCGGCAAGCCCTGCTGGAAAAGGAGAACTCAGGGTGTAGGTCACTGCTAAGGGATGACAAGGTGCGGTGCCCATTTCCCCAATGGTAGTGACCTTGTTGCTATATATCTTCACAGCACTGGATAGCGTCAATGCATGTTCGTGAATATCTCGAAGCTCCTGTGATTAGGGCCTGTTCCGTTTTATGGCATGGTAGCAGCTGGTGATGGGAGCATGATCATGGCAACCTTTGGACAGGTGGTAAAAGGGACATTGTCAGTTTGTCCTGTTGTCCAGCTGACTGGGGGCAGCAGGGGATGCTGCACATATGCAGTTGAGGGAGACAACCTTTTAACCTTCTTGGCTGTGCTACTGCTGGCTGTCCAAGGCAACACCTGTCTTCCATTTTTGAATTTATGCCGATTCCGATCTTTTTGCATCATTTTCAATCTGACATCTTTGCCCCTATTCTCAGTCAATGACATGAGGATCTGCAAGCTGATGTGTTCCACTGATGTTTCCTTGCATACTGAAGTTGTTTGTTGCTGTTTTTTGCTTTTAGACTGATGACTTAGCGCGCATGTTCCGTTTGTTCAACCGTATCCCCAATGGGTTGGAGCCTGTGGCCGCGATGTTCAAAAGCCACGTTGAGGGGGAGGGCATGAAACTTGTGAGGGACGTCACCTTCGCTGTGGAGGAGAAAAAGGGCAAGGAGTCAGGTATGAGCCAGATTACAGTGATCTGGATGCCACTCTTCAGATTGGTGATATTGCACATATACTGCCTCTGTTTCAAATGTATTGTTGTTTTTCTGATCTTGCTATAACTTTGCAGGAGCAACTCAAATGGTCAATTTGTCACCAGATTTGGATTGCTTGGTCGATTTTGGGTTGATGGGTATCTTGATTGCATTAGTCAGTGCTGTACAGCAGGAAATTCTCAGCCTCATCAAAAGCATCGCTGTCCACCTCCGCCAGAGCCTCAATTCCCCATTTTTTGCTCACATTATCCCCACGCGTGCCAGTCTATTTCCCAATATTAATCAAGAACCTTTTCGTAGGCAACAAATAGGCACTACCACAGCCTTTTAAGAATTTCGGCATCGTTGCGATCACAATCTTTGTGGACCATCTCTTCCCACTATGCTGATTCATGTCTACAAATTTTCAACTTCAACGAATGGCCATGTTGGCACCAACCTAGACCATTCTTTGGTCAACATCAGCATGCATGGCCTTCCTAACCTTGCTGTATCGGTTAGATCAACGCTCTTGCCCTAATCTAGGTATCTCTTTGCCTTCAGCCACCACATACACACAATTGTTGTTGACGCCCAAAATCTGCGGCAAGCCCACATCTCTTGCTCTGCAGTTTCTGCTTGGAATTCAGCCTCAACTTCAGTGTATACCACACCCCCAAGCCAATCATCTTTCCCAGAGACAGCTCAGCTCGATCCACCTCCTTCGAGCTCGCTATTCCCTGTGCCAGGTCCTGAAAAAACACGAAGCTGTGTTTCAGCTCCTCTTGATGAATCACAAGAACGTCAGGGCCATTTCCCATGTTTGAAGGCTTCACAGCTAGCTCTCAATATGGCACATCGAATTTGTTTCGGGCAACTTTCCAGACTCGCATGTATTGACCTTCGTTTGCTTGAATTAGAAATGCAATAATTCTTTTGAAACATAGGTGATATGGGTTTGGATGTGTGCATTTTTGTGTGTCCTTCTGCTGCGGATCTTCTGAGCACATGTAATACATCTTGTAGGACGGCCTTCACGCGATACAGGGACCAGCCACGAACAGAAATTTGTGAGGGATGTGATCGAGCTTCACGACAAGTACATGCAGGTAGGGCCTTGTCATGCTCCAAAGCACCATCAGGTGTTTCATATTCTTGCCAAGAGCTGGGTGTTTGTGAACACCTTCGATCTCATTCTACTGCTGTAGCCAGTGGCTGATTGCCCCACCCTGTTGACGTGTTAGTTGGCTCCACACGGCAAAATTCAACCTGCAAAAGACTTCCATATTTGCTTGTCGCCAATAGTGTAGTTTGGAGGTTTGACTGTGCGCTCAACTCTTCAAGTACTGTGAATGAGAGAACATGCTATTGTTTGTTGGTGATGCTTGTCTAACATGCTAGCTGAGACATCTGCAGCAAGCGCTGCACAACTTCAGTTGGCCTTTGTGTATGCTTGTTACTCCATTGCCTTCGATTGATCACCTTGGTTTGCCTCTGCAGTATGTGACCACATGCTTCTCGAACAGCCCCTTGTTCCATCGGGCACTGAAGGATGCATTCGAGTCCTTCTGCAATAAAAACGTGGCAGGCAGCTCCTCTGCTGAGCTTTTTGCAAATTTCTGTGACAACCTTCTGAAGAAGGTATTGGTTAGTTGAGCAATGGAAAATTGACATTGGATTGAATGTCAAGCAGAGCTGCTTAGCACATTTGCTGGAACACTGTTGTCTTGTAACCTGGTGTGCAGCAACACGGCTTTGCCATTTGGTGTTGTGTTGCATTTGGTTTCTGCATCCTTTGACTTTCTTTCTATATTCCTTTAGGTTCTATTGATGTTCTCCAAGATGGTTTTCCTGTGTGCAAGCATGTCAGTGTTGAAATTTTTTGGCGTGGCAAACCCGTTTGTTGCATCAGAGAAATTTTTTTGGTAGCTGCATGCCAAGTTTTGGAGGTTTGTTATCAAAGCATGTCAAAACAGCATCGGTGGACCAGCGTTTCACCGCGCGACGTGCTTGTGACTAACTGGATGGACCTTGGATGATATACAGGGTGGAAGTGAGAAGCTGTCTGACGAGGCCATTGAGGAGACCCTGGAAAAGGTTGTGAAGCTCCTGGCATACATCAGCGAAAAGGACCTGTATGCTGAGTTTTACAGGAAGAAACTCGCACGGCGACTGCTGTTCGACAAGAGTGCCAGCGATGAGCATGAGCAGACGATCTTGTCACGATTAAAGCAGCAGTGTGGGGCGCAGTTCACTTCCAAGGTTTGTATATGCACCTGCCGGCACTTGTTCATTCACTTGATATGTAGCAGCCAGGTAGCTTTTGTTCCAGACTTATGTTCCAAAATCATGCATTGCATTGCACAAAAGAGTACCAATGATGAAAATGGCACAGGAATGATGTTGTTCACTCCCTCACCAAGGAAATCTTGAAGACTCCTTTAACTCTGACAGGGTGCAGTGGAGTCCACAGGTGAAACACTAACGAAGTATGAGTTTGTGCAGTGTGGCTCTATAGCTGCCAAGCTTGTGCTTTCAGTGCAGGCCTGCTCCCCCAGTGGATGCCTTGGAGATCCACCAGCATTGATAGAACACCGCACTGCTCTCCATTGGGCCACTAGGTGTTCTGATGGACAGCAACAGCCCACACTCTTGGGCCTGTCTGCCTGTGCATTGACAGCACCATCTCCAGTTTTCATGCATGCACCATAAGATGAAGTCGTCACCCTGGTCCTTGCGACAAAACCTGTGAATCTAATGATTGCTGTTGTGGCCACCAGATGGAAGGAATGGTGACAGACCTGCAGTTAGCACGAGAGAAGCAGCGTGAGTTTGAGGAGTGGGTTGGCGAGCGTGACAAGCAGATTGGCATAGAGATGGGTGTCCAGGTGCTAACCACTGGCTTTTGGCCGACCTACAAAGCCACAGATTTGGTACTGCCAGAAGAAATGGCCGAGGGTGTGCGTGTCTTCAAGGTGAGCAGGCTATTTGGTTTGTCCTTGTTCAGGGCAGGCCCTGTGTTTTGATGTTTCGGGGACTGAAGGCAAGTGCACAGCAGTCTTGCCACCACACACTTATGAGCTTCCTGCTGTCACTTGGTGGCTGGAATGTGCTGTGAGAGGGCCACACATCAACATCTGTGGGGAGGACAGTGGGCTTGGATGTTAATGTCTTTGAGCAGTGTTCCATCCAGCTTTTGGCCATCTGGCCATGACAAATTGGCATCGCCATGTGTCTAGCGACAGCAGCCAGAGAAAGTGAAGGCCATGAAGTACCTTCAGTCCAACAAAGAGATGCAGCTTTGTGTGAGATCTAGAGTTGCACAGATGTACCTTAACTTTGTGCACTGTGTCTTGCAGAGGAGGTGAGTTTGTTTCCGATCGGTCTGTTGCACACATCAGTCACACGAGTAGCACTGTTACTCATGCTTGCCAAGACAGTGCAGGGGACTGGCAATGCCAGATGGATGGACATCTGTTGCATTGGTGGTTTATTTGCTCTTGTTATGCATGGGACCAGGAGTTCTATGAAGACACAACGAAGCACAGGCGGTTGAGCTGGATATACACACTTGGCACATGCCTGATAAAGGCAAATTTTGATACTCGGGTGTCAGAGCTGACGCTGTCCACGCTGCAGGCAGCTGTGCTCCTTGCGTTCAACAATGGTGCGAGAGCAACGGATTGGTAACTGGAGCCAACTAGCCAATCACTGAACTTTGCATGGTATAATTTGTCATCGTCAGGGCAAGAGCTCAAATCATCGCTGCTTTTGTGTGCCTTTTAGTGCTCTGCAGCTTGTAGATCGTCTTCACAACAGCAGAGTAGAGCGGCAAGGCCTTGTCTCGGGCTGAGAATATGAGTTGTTTACCAAGTGTCCATTTGTGCTGGTCATTTTCTCTCCCTGGCTTTGCGTTTCAGAACTGGTGCATTTGCGATGTAAAGGTGCTATGTGGTTTTAAAGTGGCTTCAAATGGAGCATTCCGTGCGGCTGACAGGGTGATTTAATGGACCCAGGGGAGGAGCTAACCTACAAGGAAATCAAAGACCGGCTGAACCTCCAGGATGACGATGTTGCTCGATGCTTGCATTCTTTGGCATGCGCAAAGTATAAGATACTCATAAAGGAGCCCGATGACAAGAAGATTAACAAATCAGACAAATTTCAGGTCAACATCAAGTTCACAGACAGGATGAAGAGGATAAAGGTGCCACTGCCACCTGTGGATGAAAAGCGAAAAGTCATCGAGGACGTGGACAAGGATCGGCGCTATGCAATCGACGCCGCTGTTGTGCGCACGATGAAGTCGAGGAAGCGCATGCAACACCAGCAGGTGAGTTTGGTGTCCTTGGGTTTCTCTTGTCAGGTCTCTTCGCACGGATCCATTTTCGTTCATTGGAGGAGATACTTGCGACATATTAGGGCATTTCAGCAAAATCAGGTGTATTCATCAGCAGTTTGGCAGCAACAGCAAGGGTTTCACCTGTCAACATGTGTAGTTGAAATCTTCTACTGGTGGAGTAAGGATAAGGCCACCAGCTGCAGGATTGATTGATGGATGGATTGATCGGTGGAAAGTTCGCTTGTTTTCATTTGTCAAGAATGGCCAGACTTTTGGCGGTTCACCCCGAGCTACAAGCAGTGAACGTGTCAGGCAGAAAACCCAAAGATCGTTGCTTACCCCATTCTGCCCATTGTACTGTGTTGGCGGGTTGGCAGCGCTTGGCAGCATCGCATGTACTTGATGCCATGCTCCAAATCAAGCAGCAATTTGAGCAGTCCTTTTTGTGGACACATTGCCACGTGGTCACATTCTCGAGCAGACCATGTGGATGCCAGCATCGCATTGACTTTTAAGCATTGTTGTTGCTCCATTGGTGGAGTAGCATCAATTCAATGTTGTGCCACCGGTCCAAGCAGATGCATCAATAGTCTCATTCCTGTGCGTCTGTGCCATGCAGCTGGTGCTGGAAGTTTGCCAGCAGCTTCAGCGCATGTTCAAGCCGGACATACGCCTCATCAAGAAGCGCATCGAGGACCTCATTGCACGCGAGTACCTGGAGCGCGACCAGGACAACAAGAACATCTACAACTACCTGGCATGAGCAGGGCAGCAGTCCATGTCCGTGGAATGGTGGTGAGGTGCCTGAGCAAAACAGTGGTTGCGCCTTCAATCTGGTCTCATGTGGCTGGAGGGTGTTGCAGATGCAAGTATGCTGCACTGTGCAACACGGTACTGGCAATTTGTAGTGCTCAGTATGTTCTGTAACAGTGGATTGTGTTTCAAAACGTGGTCTCATTGATACAATGAATATGGAGTTGCAGCTGCTCTGTGCGATGCACTGCTGGCGGTCATGGCACAAGGGACGCGCAGAGAGGTGTATACCCTTGGGTGGGGTTGTGGTACCAAGGGGTGTCGAGGTGGAGGGAAGTTGGATGATGTGAGACAGAGGTAGTAAGCTATTGTGTGCTAGATGGCGAATATAGGAATGAGTACATGCGCGTTTCAACATTAGTGTTGGGAGGAGGAATAGCCAGTCATCTTGAGCAGTATTTCGAGGCTTGGCGAGCGTATGGAACCTTAGTGCTTTGATCATTCTCATTGACCCCAGTTGCGGTTGGTCCCACCTGTGGAGACGATGGAGTGTCGTTGCTTGAAGGCACATGCTCATCATCATAGTACTCAATATCAGAATGATTTTGCGTGTTCTGCCCTCTTCTACCTTTCTTCATTCAGAGTTTGTTACCACGTCGGTCTCTCCCTCATTGCTTTCCTAATGTTTTGTTAAGGCAGCCTCCTCCATGTGCAGCTGCCCATTAGGGCTGGTGAGCTGCTGCTGCCTCCTCACCATTGTGAGGATCCAAGCCTTCCACTTCCTGGCACAGGTGCTGCCGAAGCGAGGTACCTCAATTCAGTGTTTGTGAGCAAACAAGGCTGATCATTGAAGCCAAAATGTCTCCACCGACCAACTCAGCATTTTCCAGCCTAGATTACACGTCGATCATTGTTCATCACAGCCAACTGACATGCAATCGGGCAACGGCTCACTTTACCAACAGCACAGGCCACAGATTCACGTCGATCGTCGCTCATCACCTCGGCTGAGGGATGACTGAGCAGCTCCACAACAATACAAGCTTTCTGAGGCTGCTAGGTGGAGGACAGCGCTACCTTCCAGCGTGGCTCATGCTGCGATCAGCAATGCCCAGCTGGATTTGGGACCATTAGCAAGAGCGCTGCATGTGTTTGTAAAGGAAAATATGCAATGTGGATTTCCGGGCTGTTGGACGTTGCAGAGCTGCGATCGTCACTGGGCTTCACACTTAATGAGTGTGGTAGTGTTGCAGCGCGTTTTCGATGCCCCACCCGTATGCATCTTAGGCGTCTGATGTTCGTTTTCTGGAGATCGTTGTTTACCAACTCCTCTTGCAACTCACCGAATCACCATTCGAAGGCAATGCAACGTCACAATCAGGTTACAGGTCGCAAATCGATGTGCCACACGTTGTACGACAATGGGGCAGTGCCTGCGCTCTCAGGCTCGGCCCCTTGGACGTTCCCAAAGCCGATTGCTGGTTGCGATTGGACTTGGACGGCATTTAGGCGTTCACACACAAGTAGGCGTTCCAAGGTTGCCATGGGCAACGAGGTGTATGTTACATTTTCGTCCAAAACGACAGCCCAGAGATCAGCTCCCATGGTGGATGGCTGCAGCAAACCCTCTGCATGCCCCCTATTTCTGCCTTACCGGTCTCCTTCAACCCCCCCCCGTGTTCCCCACACGACAATACATTACAACACTCACAGTTTGGTGTCCATCACCTCACTAAAACAAGACCCGATTGGCGACCCACTTGAAATGTGCCCTCGCTTCGCATAGTACTTAATGCCACTCTGATGGTGACTCAACTCAGAGTCAGTCCCTCTTCTCTCGTACTCAACTCCCTCTCCATCCCACAGCTAACCGAACTCACTCTATTAGGGTGGGCCCGGCGGGTGCGAAACAAGATAAAGGGGGGCGCCACGGGTCGCGCCTAAAATAGCCGCTCCCACTTGCCGCCAAACTCCCCGCCAAACCCAAGGGCCAGCTTGACCGGTCCCCTTGGCTGCGCCCAAGGTACAAGGATCAACCCCACCGCCCTTGGATGCGTCGGGCAGTACTGACCCCGAGTACAGGGGTGACAGAAACCGGCTGATGGATGGCCCAAACTGTCCCAAAGGGCGGAACGGCCCGACCTGGCCGTCGCGCGCCCACCCAATCGTCGTCCTAGGCAGAAACTCATTAACAGGATAGTTAATTCTATTTATAGCCCCGGCTGGCTACCCCCCTTGTCCGAGGATCCTCAGAATATTGTCCGAGGATTCGGATCCCTATTGACCAGCTTCCTGGATTATCCCTTGTCAATCATATCAGCTTCCCGGATCATGGTCGTGATCTGCTACCCGTTGCTGTCCCTCACGTCCAATGATTCCCACTCATCCTAGGATCAGTGCAATTCACTCATAAGCCACTGCCAAGTGCTGCCCAAGGGGCTTCCCTACCAAACAATCTATCCTTTAACAGCCTTTCGTGCAAAATGTCGGTAAGGTCCGAAAGGCTGCACTTGTGCTCAACATCGCGATTATGTGTTTTTTGGGGCAGAACGGTAGTGCTCAAGATTAGCCGTCAGAAAACAAAGAAATTTGAGCGCAACATCGCCATTTCTAAGTGCACAAAAAGAGAAGAGGATGCACATTCTTTTGTTTTCCGTGGCCCCCTTACCGACATTTTGCACGAAAGTTAGTTCTTTTGCAGCCAGTTCATCATAACCAGCTCAATGGATTCGCAGGTAGTTGTCTCATCAACCAACAACCATCGTTCAGCATCAATTTCGTCACCATCTCCTGGATGTGCCCTTGCCTACTCCCCCATACCTCCACCATAGGTGCCAGCACCTCGATCGCGCCCCCCATAACTGGGCAAGCCTTCAAATGCAGGCTGCGCCTAGCAGTCCCGCATGCTATGGATTCCAGCATCCCTTGGGATTATCCCAGCTCCTCGTGGGCATGGAAAATCCATGCACAGTGAGGCAGGCCGCTGCCATGCAAGCAGCGCAACGGAACCCATTCTATTTCACCATCGTCATCATCGTCCTCCAGCCTTGGCAACCATGCTCTCGCAGCCATGTTCGAGGGCGCCGCTGCAAGTCGCAACCGCTGTGCGTGCGCCTCTGAGGCGCTCCGCGACTCAGTGTCCGAGGTTGCCATACGATATCCAAGGTTGCCACGACGACAAACAATGCTGAACGGCAGCCTTGGACGCGCACCTCAAGGTACGGGACAACATTCGTACATTCGTCAGTTCACGTAATCATCATTGTAAGTTGAGCATTGCGGCTCAACTGCACCCCACCATTGGGGCCCACTTGAGACTGCATGTTCCGCCCAGAATTCTGCCATGAATGGGAGCCATTATCGAAGAAGAATGATTGTCTCTTTTGTCCTGTTCTGTTGCTATCCAGCAGTTGCAACATGGCCTACATTACCAGTAATCTATGCATCACCGATCACATCAATCTTGCGATAAAATGGCCTGCGTTTCCCCAGGAACTCTGCCTTTGTCAAAGGTGCCTTTTCCCATAATGTGCACCAGACAGGGCTGCTATTATCCCTATATTGTAGGTGGCTCTCGCAAACCAGTATGGCAGCATCGCCACATAAATTTGGCGTCTTTTCTTCTTTATTTGGGACAAAGCACGCCTCCCCTCTCACATACAGATTTCATAATTGTCATAACTTAATTGTCATCACTTGCTCAGTTAATAACACTGTGCTTTCTCGGTTTTAGCGACGCCGAGCAGCTGTCCGCGTTTTCCTGACCGGCCAAATGTGGGTTGTTCCCAGTCAGCTGCCGCATGTCAGCTGCGTTTAACATAATGACCCACTTCCAGAGGTTTCTCCTTTGCTTCCTGTATGTCCTGCAACGGCACCTTCTTCAGGCCATTCTGTGCGACTCGTTTATGTGAGTAACCATCGCCTGCCACAATCACAAGTGCCCCACCCAGCGGAACGCTGTCGCTGTGAGGCGTCGCGAACAACGGGGCAATACGCGATGTACCAGCCGCCTGCATATTGTGGCCAACATGTCCCCCAGGAATCCAGCCTCTGCGTGGACGCCTTCGTGCGCTCCCTAAGTTTGTGAGTGACGTTTGCGCACCCTGGGCTATCGTTGCACACATAACAGTCAACCTATCAGCAGCCAACGCCCTTGCATGTGTCGTCCCTGCATTCCCCCACACCCAAAAGTTGGGCACACTGAGACATCATAGCGGCTAATGGACAGAGTACAATTCTGTTTAAACACTCGCCGTTTTCAACAATCGCGGCCTTGAGTGGAACGAACACAAGGAATACCATCATACAATAGCACAAACGATCTCAGGTGAACACAAACACCCTCGAAGAATCGTTGAACCATGCGCTCACAACATTTACCTTCCGAACTAAAGCCAGCTAGAAGATGTCATCATGCTTCTGAGTACACAAAATGTTGCTGTCCATCTCATAGTCATATATTGCGAATGAATCCAATCTTGTTGAGTCACTTGTTTTTCTTTCGTTGTACAGCTGCAAGTACACCATCACACTCCCTGAACTAATATATACAGGCACCAATGCCTGGGCTGCAATCCCCAGCATCTTGAGATGCACTAACATCTCCAAAAACCGCCTGCTGCAGCACAGGCTAGTGTCCTACCCCATTCCAGTGTTCGCTGCAAGCACCAACAGCATGCACAGCTGAAGCATAAACCAGGCCAACAGCTCCTGCTACCAAAACATAGTGGTTGCTCCTCTCCTCACGTCCACACTTCAAGCAAAGCTATACACCTGTTGCTGTCCATTGAAATCCATGGCCACGCCTGTCTTCTTCCTGTCCAAAAATGCCACAAGGGCAGCAGTGGCTCGTGGCGGCCACCGGCCCTGAACCCTTTGCACCGCACCATCTTTGCTGTACAGGACAGCACCCAGTTGGTTCCCATTGCCCTGCATCTCTTCCCACTGCTTGATCGCAGCCTTTTCTGACCCACGGCACCAAAGAAAGGCGGCAAGGGCGCAGCGCACTTCCAGATTGAGGGGGTCGAAGTTGGTCACGAAGCGGGCCTGTTCCAATGCTGTTGTCTCTCGTCCAACCTACAATGCAGAAGTCAGCGAGCACATGAGAGTCATGCCAGTCGATTCAGAGCTGTCAATCAAACAACTGAGTTCCGTCCAGACTGTTCCGCAATTGATAACAATGATCCTGAAGCTGACAGTGCATGGGGGAACTCCGTCTTGGGTGATCGGCTTCTCCAAGTGCAATCAGATTCATACCGATCAAAACACAAGGCCACTGCAGGGAAATGGTGACCCCCCCCCCCCACCACCACCACACCCATTTGAACATTGTGCTTTTAACAACCAGGCATCTAAGTCTCTGGGCGACCAGGCATTGTTGCAGATGTCAACTCGACCTGCCGCCCGCAGGGAAGCCTAGTTCACGGTGCACTGCGCGCTCACAGTTGCGGTGACGCGACTAAGCCTGCCACAAGATTGCCAAGCCTTGTGGGCACTCAACCGGAGCCACCCACGATCCCAATTGGCCCCCTCCCTCCAAGCAGCGGGCGCAAGGACGACGGCGACAGCACAGCCAGACACGGGCGGCCCCAAGGGCAATGCTGCTCATCCCAAACGGCCATCCATTTCAATTCCAGAGCAACCCCAATCGCTAACGTCCACATTGAGCTCCTCGTAGGGCAGCAATCGGGTCCTCGGGCGGTGGAAACGACTAATCCTCGGCGGCGTGCTGCGGCGAGTCCACGGGATCCGCATCGGAGTGCGGCAACAGGCCAAACCCCCATGCCGAAATGGCGCCGCACGCACGAGGTGCACCTGGAAGAACGCCAAGGCCAGGTTGCTGTGCGCCACGGACTTCACGGCGGGGTCCTTCACCGCCTCGGTCAGGTCCTCGATCGCGCCCTCCCAGTCCCCCATGGCCCCCCTCGCCGCTGCCCTCTTGTTCAGGATGCTCCCATCCAGCGGGGCCTCGCCCGACAGCGCCAGCGCCACGTCGAAGTCCCTCTTGGCGTCCTCCCACTGGCCAAACTGCAGCCTGGAGGTGCCCCGATTCGCCCAGCGGTCCGCCGACATGGGGTTGGCCTCGATGGCGCGCGTCCAGCCCGAATCAGCCACCTCCGGGATGCCATTGGCCGAAAACGCCGCGGACACGGCCTCCTTCGCGAACCCGTCGGGCGTCCTGTCCTGCGGCAGGGCCAGGGCGTCGCCGGATCCGAAGATGGCCGAGCCCAGCGCGGCGGATCCCAGCCCCAGCGCCAACCCTCGACGGGAGATCGACGCGGCATCGCGCTCACGATGAAGGGCGGAGGCCGACGCGTGCGTACACCGCACCGAACGGCCGCACGGCTCCCCACAAGACGGGCATCGCGGCGCTGTGGCGCCGTGCAGACTCGGGGTCGTCGAATCCCCTCTGGACACCGAAGCCACTCTGTCCATCTTTGCGGATCGCAGCCGCGATTCGAGGCTGCGCCGCGCGCTTCCCCCCTCCGCCTGGCTTCGGAACCACGACCACGGGCCTATGCGGCACAGCGAGCCGCCCCCAGCGTTGTCTCCGGCTCCTCTGCGCGCATACCTGCGGGGCAGCGGGCTTGTTGAAACTGGATGGCCGCGCCGCTCACACCACTTGCAGTTGCGGAAGGGGCATCCCAAGGGGCGGTCATGCGTGGGGGCACGTGGGATCACGTGATCCAACCCGCTGCGGACGGCCGTCTAGATGCGCGTCCCTGATGGGGTCCAGTGAGACGGCGCTTGGCCGCCAAAATATCTTCGCGCACATCCTGTCGCCTGTGCAAGCCTTGCGCTTGCGCCACCCCGCGGGCGCCCGAGGGGCTGGCGCCGCGTGGCGCGTCCAGGACCTGCGCGGCGGGCGAGCGAGACGGATTGACCAAGGAATCGAATTACACTCAGACAGTACAATGTTATATCGCTCCCAGATTAATCAATTGTCCTCAATGTTTGGTGGGCCCACTTAACTTCAGTAGAAAGCCATGAATATCACCCAATGACCCCTGAGTACACTGAGAACATTCCAAAGGCAATAAACTGCCAACCACTCCAAATAATCAAGAATGTTCCGGTGTCCCCAGGGGTCTGAGAGAAAAAAACACACATAACCCACTCCAACCTAAAACTACACGTCCCAACTATATATTTTAAGCCTTGGTAATGTAAACAACGTCAAGAAGTCATAAACAACAGCAAGTGGACGACGCAACACCCTTGTTGGGGCCCAAAAGCTTGGTTGGCCTGGAAAGGCCCCAGTAGACAGTTATTGTCGTGCTGTTCGTGAGGGCACAGAGTGACCGCCGTTGCTGTTGGTGCGTCACTTGTGTCAACGGCTTCACCGTATCCACTGTGTGCACGGCGAAGGATGGCCCGGGCACGTAACCATCCCTGTTAAAAGAGGAAACATACGTTCGGCACTGCACCCGGAATGCACTTGCATACACAAAAACAACGGGCCCCACGAGTGTCCTGATGTATACGACATGCCATAACAAGAGAGAAAGTGTTGAAGATTTTCTGAAAGAATTGTGAACTCTTGGACCTGTATGGAGGGTTGTCTGCTGCACAATAGCCTTGCACAACACCTGAACCGGTAATGGGTCTGCCCACCCATTGGGTGGTGCTGCACCACTGGTGCAGCTCGGGCAGTTGCGTGCTACACCTGGCGTATGGGGCATGAGAACTTTTCCCAGTATTCGCCCATATGTGTCCAGGACATCTGTCCCCAATGAGGGTCTCTTCCAGAGTTCTGGACAGCATACCTGCAATTTCCTACCAAGCAGCTCAATAAATACAATTGCTTAGTGTATCCCAAGCTAATCCATTGTTGCAGCTATCCATGCATCCATTTCAACTGTACAACGGATGTACTTCAGCGAAAGTATTCGCAGCTGTGTGCTTGCTGTTAAAAACCAGCGCACTTTCTAAACTGATCCAAATCTTCTCTGCCTGTAGAGCTAGGAATACTGAAGCACCAACCTAAAACTTAGGGCATAAATCGTTGCCACCGCGGATGTGGTAGATTGGCATTCGACTCCGGGTTCATGCCCAGAGGCTGCGCCTTTTCAATTGATATCTGATAATCTACTCACTCTTTTGTTCGTCATCTGCACTGAAGCTCACCATTTTGCACAAATTTGGCGAATCTGTCAGTACCACAATTGCGTCAGCATGTTTTAATGCAACCAAAATGTTTCACACTACGACTTATATCCACATGAGGCTCAGCCACCGTACTTGTTTTTCTTGACATCTGTTGCCACAGCTTGCATTTTTCAAGCTAGGCGAATGTGCGCTCATCCGGCGACACCTTTGGGGTGTTTCATTTGTAGGTCTTTGGTTTGTATGTCTCATTTGCAGCTCCAGCGTGCTTTACTCGCTTGTTAGCACTGCTCGGCGGTCGTTCATGCCAAAATTTTGCTGGTGTATGGTTTTGTGTCACCCTGTCAGTCACCATATGTCGGTCATTCGTCATTTATTGAACGCAGTAACAGCACGGCTAACAGCAAACGTAACATTTGCTGTGAAAATTCAGCGCAGCTGTGGACACCAAGGAATAAATCCCTCTACACGCGCATCTGTCGCCAACGCAGGAGCGTTGTTGAGGTCAGGAGTCGACACCGAAGCTGTTCTGAGTACTTAGAGACTGCTGAAAGTCGTTGTTGCGACGAGGAGAGCATGTTGAGGTGAAGGGCCTCGCAACAAAGGCTGCGATTTCGATTGCCTTTTATGAAACTGTAAGTGAGCGCTGAGGCATTGGCGATGGCGAACTCGAAGTGAAGGAAAATTTCAATTCTTCAAAACGTGTACTCTCCATTTGCATTTACTTCGGAATAGCCGGGCTTTTCAATCCATTTCAAATCAGTTCACCTGAGTGACCCGTCAGCCTGATGCTTGGACAAAACCCCACACTCGCGAAAACGCAACAAAGCACGTATCCCATCCATTGACTGTGCAATTACCCAGTGCATTGCACTATCATCAAGGCTCGCTATTTGCACGTGATTTCCGGAAGGATTAACAGATATATGTGAGAAATTAGCAAACCCTGGCGGCGGCATGCACCTTTTCGTGACGCCATTCTATGCTGAGAAAAAATGCCAGTCAATGATGTTGCATACACTAACACGAGTGTCAGGACACTGTTGGATATGCAGAGTTCGTCCAGTCGCAACGAACGTGCGCTGGTGTTGCTAGTAACGCTGTGCCTAAAGAACGTAGACAAAAATGAACGACAGAGGGGCGAATACCGCCCCAGTGTCGTCGCAATATCAGGATACCACTCCAAGAACGTCTTTGAGAGCTTCCTCAGCACGTGGGCGACTGCGAATGCTGTGTGCACACACCGTCGGTGTTCCCCTGGGATTACACGCAACGAAGCAGGCGCAGATGCTCGGGGCCCCTAAAGATGGTAGGAGAGCTGGCCAGATGGAAACATAGGTGGACACCAAAAGACCGTTGGCGTTGTATTTGGATTGAGGCGGATACATAACAGAACGTGCACATTTGCAGCAACATCTCGTCCTGATCTATGCCAATGTGTTGTAGGCCAGCATATGTACCCAATTTGCATGCCTCTGGTAGTGAAAGGGGCGTAAGCAATCGCATACTAAACTATCCAAATCTGACTGAATAATGTGAGCTGATGGTGTGGCACAAACAAGCAACCAAAAATAACCCTGTGCGGACATCAAGTAGCCTGGAGTCGTAGTTGTGCTGCTGCACCGTTCCAAAAGATGTCGAAGTACAGTAACCCACAGGACATTCTCAAAGGAAGCGGTGCCCAGTGTTCGACCTGACACTCTTTTCACAAGAATCTCTGCCACAAGTTGCGAGTCCACAAGCAGAAAAGCAGCTAGCACAATGCCCACCACCTCCCAGCGCTTGTCCATTCTACACGTTCCGATCTGCTTTCTACACTCTCGTTCGCACTTTAGGGTGGCTGTCATCTGCCTGGTGGTCTCCACACATCATTTCGCTTCGTTCGCTTGTGTTGGCTCCCCTGCCAGCGTCGTTGGGCAAAGCCACCATCAGACGACCTGTGAGGCACACTGTCACGTCCTGTGGAGACACCGTCAGGGACGCCTTGCCGGGTAGATGTCCCTGGCTGCCTCCCAGAACCTGAAAGCCTCCCAGGCCCGATCCTGTCCTTGCATTCCAATTCCTCATCCTTCACCTCAGGTTGCAGGACCAAGTCCACAGTCTTCAACCGCTTGGCCATCTCCTCCGCCGAAATCTCCGCCCCACTGATTTTGTCTCTCCTACACTGCTCTCCCAGCTCCCTAATGTATTGGAGTTTCTGGTTCTGGCCTTCGAGCTCCCTCTGTAGCTTCTCGGTCGCAGGGTTGAAGTTCTGGAATGACATCCTGCTTGTGGGGGCACTGTGGGGCGGGTCGCCCTCAACAATAACAATGCAGCCACCTGTCCCATGGCTGGGCTGCACTGTCCAGTGGTCCTGAAGTTGGCACAGGGAGACACAATTTGGGGCTGAGGGACAGCAAGGACTCCCTGTTCTGGTTGCCCTCTGGTCTTGCGTTCGATACTCTTGCCCATCAGTACCACCTGGGCTGGGTGTTCTCAAGTTGTTTCAGGTGAAGACGTGTCTGAGCTCTCTCTTACAACGGCCGAGAGGCACAGACTCTTGCTCTATTCCTGAGTTGATGCTGATGGCAACACGATGGTCTGAGTTTTCTGATTGGATTCTCGACTATTGTCAATTTGGCAGTTGGCACATGATGCTTCAGGGGGATCACAAGCACTTTCTCCAAACTCATGAATATGTCCCAACAGGCTTGACGATGCTGACTGGCCATCAAGCAGTCTAGGAACGCAAAATTGGAGCCTGGATTGCTGCTAACTTTTGTAATGACATCAAAATAGTGTTGTCACTCAAGTGTGGGTGGCAATGTTGTCCTATTGTGAACTCGAAATATGTTGCAAGAGCACTGTTGAAGAAAGTATGGTACTGTGTGCGGAGGGTATGGTGATTTGGGCCACATTCACTTCTGGGCGCCGTGGAGGGCGGAACAAAGGTTGAGCAACCACACAAATTTAGAAGTGCTCTCGGCCTTGCGTTCCCTTAAAACCTGGGTTTCTATTTTTCCACCACAGTGGATTCTCTTTATCAGTGATTAGCCTCCCTTGCTGTGCCTAGTGCTGCAGTTTTGGTGCATTCCCTCCTGTACATGGACGCAACTTTCACACATGCGTAGTCTACATTGTCCAGGACGAATTCTGTGATTGTCTTGAACACACAACTTTGTGTGTCTGAGAGTCAGCTGATGTGACCACCCAGGATGTCACAATTCGGAGTGCTTTCCATGCGAAAGCATGTTTCACTGCCTCTGTTACAACAGAGGAGCCCCAAATGCATGAAGGGTGGGGGCCAACAATGGGCTGCACCACACCAACGCTTGGATTCCATCTACCATGGCATCCAGCACCTCTCTTGTGCTAAATTCCAATCAACAGCACCACAAAATGCCATCTGCAGGAGTGGGAAGACACAAACTTGCAGGCCCACCATTCATACGGGGCAATGGGCAAGCGCATTTTCGCCAATGCTGCGTGCTTTTACGTCGCACCCAGAGGTCCGTTGCGGAAAAATGTGAGCTTTCGCCCACAAGACGCTCGTCACATGACTCTCTTCTTCAGAATGGCCAATGTGTGCCCCACCCTTTTACCCACAGGGCCTGCGCCCATGCGACTGCCATGCCGCTCCACTCTGGCGCCAGTTCTCCCAGCAACCCACACTTCCCAAACAGACGCAGCTGCGCACTGCTGCGGGACGCCGCCAAAGATTTTCAGCGCAGGGGCAAGTGGCCTCCAAGGCATTTGCGGCGGGCCTCCCCACGGCGTCGGCCTGCAAGAGCGCGATGATGCCTCCGGCACGGTCCCTTCCCCAACTGCCCACTAACCTCTTCATTTTTAAAAGCGCGTTCCTTCGCCTCGTCGACCAGCTTTGTCTTGTGAGAGGCCCGGCGCATGAAAGACAGCTTGTCCAGCTTGCTGGACCAAGACTTGGGCGCACCCGCGGCATCGCGCTTTGCCATGAGGTCAAAGCCGTCGAAGGAGCATGGGGGAACTGTGGCTTTCGGGGTCTCTTGGTGTTATGGGAACCTCGGTGGGAAGGGTACTTAAGGCAATGTGAAGGCGCGTGCAGGGGGTGCCTCTGGGCGGGTTCTGCGCGTACTGGTCCGGTAGTGTCTCCTGTTCCCTCGTCCCAGGTCAATTACTGTCAGGGACCCTTGTCACACTTGTTTCATCCAAATCTGGGCTTCATTGGCGCTTGGAAAGCAGGTTTGCTATTTGTTATAAGCACAGATCGTATTTTGGGCGTTTATGGGATTAACTATCTTGTTAAGGGGTTTCCGCCCAGGGCGACGAGGGGCGGGCGCGCTGGCCCACTTGGGCCAGCGCTGCTTAAAGTACGATGGTTTTGGCGGCCCCTTGGGGTTTCTGTCCCCCTGTACCTTGGGTCAGTGGCTGGCTCGTCGCGTTCAAGGAGGGCCAATGGTTTTTGGCGCCCTTGGGAGCGGCGGGTTTTGGCGGGCGCGAGCGGGGAGGCTACTTAGGCTCACCCCTCGGTCCCCACCTTATCTTGTTTCGCTTCGCGCCAACCCTTTGGCACAACCCGGACCCACAGAGTGGGTCGCGACCTCCGGCTCTTGCCGAGTTCTTGCCTATGAACCCGTCCCCTGCGGAGCAGTGGTGCCGGGAACAAGCTCGCCGGTTCAACAACCGTATTCCGACCTCCGCTATCGAAGCCTGCTGGTTGCCCGACCCGGCCCTACTCCCCCAGTCCGTCAACAACCCGGTAGCCCGACCGGTGGGCGCTCGTTCGCCGTACTGGTTCGACGTCCGCGACACCGCCGAGGGGAGTGCGGTCGCCGCCTCTTTGGGCGCCAACTCCGGTTACTTCCAGGAGTACGCGGGCTGGGCGCCTCCGGTCTCCTGGCTGTTCGATACGACTGCGGCCTTCGTGGAGGTGGCCGCCCATCCCGATCTACCGGCGTCAGTTCGGGAATTCCTCCTCCCCTACCTTTACTCGTATGTGGAGGTCACCGAAGCTCTCCACGACCAGCTCTCTTTGCAGCGCATCCATGCCAAGCACAAGGGCTCAGGCTTGGAGGGATCGTGGCGCGCCATCCAGGCGGAGATCCGCCTCACCGACCGCGGACTGCGCTTCGGCACCGCTCGCGTCGACGGGACCATCGAGCGCATGCGCAAGGAGCTCTTGACGCAAGAATTGAAGCACGCCACCAAGACCGCGGCCGCCAAGAAGGCTACCTCCCCCCCGTCGACCTCGGCCCCCTCGACCGGCCCCAAAGCCCACAAGGGATCTCGCCCTCCGGGCCCCTCTCCCAAGCCGGCTCCGTGAAGCATTTCCCGTACAATCGGGTCCGCGGACGCCTTTCGGCGTGGCGTCGCATCGGCGCCCCCTCCCGCATCCTCCAATGGATCCATTCCGGGACTCCGCTTCTATGGGGACCGCGTGGACCGCCGGCTCCCTTCGACGAGGGCTCCTACCCGCTCTGCTCCTCGGAGGAACGGGCGGCCTGGCAATCCCTTCGAGCGGACTACATCTCTTCGGGCGCGATCACCAAAGTGGAGCCGGGCCCCAACTCGCGCATCTCTCGGGCCTTCCTGGTGGAGAAGGGGCGGGAAGATGGGGTCATGAAGTACCGCCTTTGCATCGATTTGCGACGGGTCAACCGTCACCTTCGCAAGGTGGGCCTTCGTTACGAGAAATTACGTGACTTTGGTCACTTACTTCACCGAAATGACTCATTGGTGGGATTCGACATCAAAGATGCTTATCATCATCTTCGCGTGTGTCGATCGGAGGAATGTTTCCTCCAATTTCGGATGGGAGATGAAGTTTTCGCTTGTCGAGCTCTCCCTTTTGGCCTTTCGTTGGCTCCTTTCTTTTTCACCCATTTGATGCTTGTTGTGGGTCGTTTCTTGAGGTCCCCGGGCAGTTGCCCCAAGGCTGCTCGCCATTTCCGTTTTGGGTGCCTAGCCGGGGATGACTCAATAGCTACATACTTTCACGTGTATACTAGGGAACCGCCAGCCATTTTGTTGGCTTATCTCGATGATTTTTTGGCGGCCATGCATGATGCCGCCCGTTTGACTCGATGGTCGAAATTGGTTCGGGGTGTGTTTGCCTCGCTGGGCCTCCAATTCAAGGAGCGGAAGTGTCAATGGACCCCCACCATGCGCAAGAAGCATTTGGGGGTGATTGTGGACACGGCCCATGGCCGTTTTGAGGTTCCTCCGGACAAGGCCGCGTTGATCGCCAATCAGGCCCGCATTTTGCGATCCAGCCGCTGGGTTGTGGCAAGGGATTTGGCACGTTTTTGCGGCCTCGCCATTTCCCTTTATTTGGCCTTTCCTTTGGCACGATTTTTCTTGCAAAGCCTCTACGCGGTTCTTCGTTCCAAGCGCAGTTGGCGGGATCGCCTGATCCTCTCCCCCCAAGCCCGGCTGGACTTGGAGGCGTGGGTCAACATCCGCCGCTGCGAAGGCCGTCCACTCAACCCCGACGCCATCCCCTTCGCCGGTACTCTGGCAACGGACGCCAGCCTGACCGGTTGGGGGGCCACCTTTGCTTCCCCGACGAGGTCTCGCCCCCTCCTCGCGAGGGGGTTTTGGGACCGTTCCTTAACGCACATCAATGTGCGTGAGATGCAGGCGGTGGAGCGAGCCATTCTCAGCTTTTTTCCGGCTGCTTCCCATGGCCTTCCTTTGAGGCTCAAGCTGTTGGTCGACAACCAGGTGGTCATGTACTGCCTGCGCAGCATGACTACCCATTCCAAGCAGCTCCTCACCCCCCTTCGTCAGCTGCACCAAGTCTGTACGGCGCGCCACCTCCTGCTCGACCCGAACTATATTCGGTCGGAGGACAACGTCATACCGGACAGGCTGTCCCGGGTTCGGGTGGCGGACGACTACCAACTGCACCCGGCCATTTTCAAGCGCCTGACTCAGCGCTTCGGTCGCCGGTCGTGCGACCGCTTTGCTTCCGCGGCGAATTCCCTCTGCCCAAGGTACAACAGCCTGCACGCGGACGTGGGGAGCGCGGGGACGGACGCCTTTCTCCAGGACTGGACGGGGACACCAACTGGTGCAACCCCCCTTGGTGCCTCCTTCCCCGGCTCGTCTCCTTCCTCGCCGCTCGGCCCGCCGTGGAGGCCGTCGTCGTCGTCGCGCTGGATTGGCCGAGCGCGCTTTGGTTTCAGCCACTCCGGACTCTTGCGGCGGAGGACCTTCTGATTCCCCGTCATCCGGGGATGTTTCGCCCAGGGGATCCGACTCTTCCGGCCCGCCTTCCTCCGCCGAAGTGGAACCTTCGGGCATTTCATGTCCGCCCTCGGAAGCCTCCCTAGGGGCGGGCGCTCGGTCACCCTCCAGGGAGGTCGCGCTTCCCCCCGATGATCCGCTCCCGGTGGAGGCCATGCCGACTGATCACCCCCTCTACGGGCTGGACGTCGACGGCATGCTGCAATCGGACTGCGCATGGATGCAGTCGCAGTTTTTGTCTTTCTACACGGAGTCAACGCGGCGGTCCATGCAGGCCAAGTTCGCCAAGTTCCAGGCGTTCTGCGCCTCCGTGGAGCTCCAGGCCCTCCCCGCCCGCCCGGCCACGATCTACCGTTACATCCGGTTTCTACGGGAGGAGGGTCGGGTGGGCGTCCGCAGCCTCCCGCAATACCTGGCCGCCATTTCCATGGTGCACCAGGTCGCCGGCCATCTGCAGTTTTCCGCCTTCGACCGGGTGACCCGTTTGCTCA